TGTTTGGTTTTGGAATTATGAAACTTTGTATGGAGAAAATTTAAATTCAGTTCCGGCTCCAGTAAATATTTCAATCATACTGTCCATTCTAGCTTATGAGCGCTACTAGTTCAATACTTCGTGCTTATTTTCTATACATTTTAGCGGGTATTATGCCAGTTTCTGATTGAATTTCAACTTTTTTTTAGCACTTGTGCTACGAACATGGCTTTTAAATTGTTGCAACTCTTTAGAACCGGCTATTTAATTGCTCAATGCAAATTTAATTTTGCATTTTATGGCTGTCCATCATAAATTGAGTTCATATTATGGGTGCTAAGCTATTAAACTAATTATGGAAACACCAATTCATAGTCATTCTGCTTGCAGTTCAACATATTGGTGACATGGGAAATTTGATAACGGTACAAGTGTTGAAGTCTCAAATTGAAGCAAGTAGTTTCATGTGGCATTTGAGAAAATTTCTCTAACCTACAAAACAAAATAGTTGGTGTATTATTAGTGTATAAAAGAGAGTTTTCACATTAATTTTACTTTTTCTTCACTTGCTGTTGTTCCTCACATGCACGTATATACAAGATACAGATGTCAGTGAACATATGGTGATACACCTGCCTTACTCTTATCAGATACTGAAGAGTGGACTCGAAGCTGTGCACATTCCATATTCTTACGGATTTGCCATTATATTGCTTACGATTATAGTAAAAGTCGCCACACTTCCTTTGACAAAGCAACAGGTGTGCTTTTGTTGCTGCTGCTATTAAATCCAGTAATTCCTTAATCTGAAATATGCTGAGTTTCAAGGAGCATATACTTATTGGCTTATACAGTCCAACCTAGACTAGTTTTCTAATATCAATGACAACTGAAAGTGGGTAGTAACTATTAAATATTATGTCTACCATTTCTGAAAGGTTGAATCAACACTGGCAATGCAAAATCTCCAACCAAAAATCAAAGCAATCCAACAAAGATATGCTGGAAACCAGGTCAGTTATTTATCTTATAGTATGCTTTTCAATTTTATGGAGTTTGTTGGTGCTGGTGTGTTCTCTTGAAGCTATTAAGTATTAATTTTTCATGAGACGTGTGATACTGTTGAAATTATTTGATTATAGTGTTTCCGTAAGTTTATATTTCTAGACTAGATTACATATAAAGAATAGACTAGAAGAATTCTTTGTACCCTAACTTGTGTTAGTTGAAGACTAAATTCTGGAACTCTGATGGCATTGCCTTTTGGTTAAAGTCAGGGAAATTGACATACTTATATTTTCTCTTTAGGAAAGAATACAACTTGAGACTTCACGCTTGTATCGACAGGCAGGTGTTAATCCTCTGGCAGGTAAACTTCTACATGGCAAATACGTTTTCTGCTTTCTTAGGAATCATTCTACAGTATATTGATCTGCATCCAGCCTCAACTATTAGGACACCTTATGCATTTTAACCGGACTGTTTCTTTCTCTAACAGGATGCTTCCCAACATTGGCTACAATACCAGTGTGGATAGGTTTGTATCAAGCTTTATCAAATGTGGCAAATGAGGTATTGAAAGAAGTTGATATAATTCTTTATTGTTGCTAGCTTCCAAAAACATTTGCATTTATGTAGCATGGACTAATCATTAATGTATTATTTTCAACCTGAAAAGGGACTGCTGACAGAAGGTTTCTTTTGGATACCCTCTTTGGGAGGCCCAACTACAATAGCTGCTCGACAGAGTGGATCTGGAATCTCTTGGCTCTTTCCTTTTGTGGTAATGACTATAGTTCTCACAACCAAAGTGATATGCTAATCAATATACTCATATCCACAAATAATTGTCCTTCTTACAATTTTAAGATGTCTAACAAAAACTGTTGTCTACCATAAATTTAATAATATTTATAGCCTCTTACCAAAAAATCCTTTTGAATTGAACTTGAAATAGAAAGAATTATGTGTTTAATTCATTTATCATGTGGCAAAGTTGAAATTCCACCCACTTAATTAATTCTCCAAACTGCATTGAGCATACTCTCCTAAATCCACGTGTTTTTTCTTAGAGTACAGTTGTTTGTGGATGGAGGGTTTATTTTTCTCTTAAAGTTCATGTCCTTTATTCTTTTAACTATGCAAGTTTTCACCCATTGTGCTCATTTCATGAGGGCATAAAACTAGTTTGATATTAATGTGGAATATCCTTCACTCAGGATGGGCATCCACCTCTAGGTTGGCAGGAAACTGCAGCTTACCTTGTATTACCTGTACTCTTGGTGGTCTCTCAGTTTGTTTCAATGGAGATAATGAAGCCTCCCGAAGTAAGAATTGATTTTATCTTAAGTATCTATTTTTCTGCTTCTATTTCTTGTGTTGCATTGCCTGAGACTGTTATGTGTTCTTTGTAGACAGATGATCCAAATCAAAAGAACACACTTCTTGTCTTCAAGTTTCTTCCACTCATGATTGGTTACTTTTCTCTCTCTGTCCCATCTGGTTTAACAATTTACTGGTGAGCTCTTAAGCCTTGATTTTATCTGTTATATCTTCCTATACAAAGTTTGTCTCTAGATATTGTTACTTTCAACAGATCATTCATCTCTTACTTGATGATGGGTACACATATATTTGGCTAACTGTCCGGAGAGGAAATAATGGAAACCATGAAAATATTATTGTTATTCTGAACTAGATCTCATACTATGCATCTGCAAGTATTCTACTGTTAACAAAATAAATATGATTAATATATGAATACTTGTGTTATTATTTTTCCTTTCATCAACCAGTCTTCTTTTATTATGTTACTAAAAAGAAGGTAAATGCTGAGTGGTTTTCTTCATTTTGTCGAGTGACTATTGGCATAAAATTAGAATATATTCACATTGTTGAGCATTTGACAATTTTGGTACAACTCTAGATACAGATACTACATGGAGTAAATGCAACCATAATATGTTAATGCATGAAAATATTTGGTAATAACCTGATTTTCTTGCACTTGTGAAAAAAATATATAGTTCAGTTTTCCTTATTAATATGTTGTGTTTCTTCTTGATTCAAGGCTCACTAATAATGTGCTGAGCACCGCACAGCAGGTTTGGTTGCGCAAATTAGGTGGTGCAAAACCTGTTGTGACTGAAAATGCAAGTGGCATAATCAGTGCTGGGAAAGCAAAAAGAACAGCTGTTCAACCATCGCAGACTGGGGATAGGTAGGTTGGTATAGTTTTTGATAAACTCAGCTGCTTCAGTACTTATCTTACTGAAAATTGTAACAGATTTAGGCAGTTGAAGGAAGAAGAGAAGAAAAAGTCAAGTAAGGCACTATCTGCAGCGCAAGGACAGATATCAGCTTCTGCATCTGATTCAGAGGATGAGTCAGAGGAAAGCGATTCAAAGGTATACTTAGACATTTTAGCTGTTTACATAAAAAGAGTGTAGTTGTCACTTTAAATTTAGGATTAACTCTTCTTTGCTATCTTATGTTTGACTAGTTCCTTAGTTAATGGAGAAACAGTGACTGCTTTAGTTTTCCCCTAAATGTTACACACTGCACATGGCAGGTAGAGGCATCATTTCACTAATTTGTTGCATTGCAACAATGTTTTTTAGTTTTTTGCCTGGAAGTACAACTTAATTTTGCTCCATGTCAACGTATTCTACCTGGTATTAAAAAATATGCTGAGTGTTTCTTTTCATAATTCTTGGTCAAGAATATTCAAGATTAGACAGATTTGTGCCCTTAACTTCCCCTCCACGCCCTCTTTCCCAGGAAAAAGGAATTGGAAAAAGATTTGATGTATGATGGTTGGAAACGAATATTGATTTTACCAGTGCATTGGGGGCATCTCTGATGTCTTTTTTGAATTTTCTTCTATGTGCAGTTAGAGCTCAAACTTCCCCAAATACTTTTAGTGAAAATGGTGAATAAAAAACCTGATATTATTCATGTTACCTATAAACTTAAACTACAGTACGGGCATGGATGTGAATTTGTGGGGTCGTCAGTAAACTTGATTTTATTTATTAGTTTTAGTTGTTTATGCTGGCTATTGATCTTCCATGGCTGTAGAACACCTCCAGGTAAAACTGTTTTTCACAAAAACTAGTTATTCTACATAAACGTGGCAACTTTCCTTCTTTGTTTGCCAAATTAAGGAACCTAAAATTTTATCTTCCATAAAATGAAATGAAGTAAAATAAAAATGGAAATCTACCAAAAAATGTCAAGCTTAAATAAAAAGCAGCTACCATATATGTATTCATATGCCTTCTTGAATTGTGCATAGACAATTTGAATGGGTCAAACATGGATTTGGGCTCAATAAGAAAATTTGTTATGCATCAAGTATTCAAATGTGAGTTTAGAGACTGAGTCTACATTTCACTGCAGGATGAGGAGGTTCTTGAAGAGGCTTACACTTCTGGCAACAGTAAAAAAGTTCCAGACTACTCTGGGCCAAGGAGGAGCAAACGATCAAAGAGAAAGCGTGCGGTATGAAAATGATATAGTCACTTTTTTTTTAACTCAGATTTTTACTAGTATACTTGAACAGATTGTATCCTAGTTATAGCGGCCATTTTCACATCGGTCATCTATTTGTGATATAGCTACCATTCATCGAACTCATCTGTCTGTAGGGCATATCCTACATCCATCTCTTATTTAGTAGTATCTTTCTGCTCTTCAACAAAGATGAAAACGAAAGTTTTCATAGCCTTAAAACATTCTATTGTATGATATTTCTTCATGATAGTTTTATTGCTTCTGAGCATTGAGTCAGAGGTTCCTGCCGGAGATTCAAATCAGGTAAAATATTGATGAAGTAATATATAGTATTGATGGTCCATATCAAAATCTACACTGCAGACTTGTTCACAAAAGGATGTTCTTGTGGACAAAATCTTCATGTTCTTTTCTGCATTCTGTAACGGTTATTCAGTGCTTGCAATTTTCCTGTGTACATGCCATGGGTACATTGCAGCAAATATAGTTTTTCTTGCAAAAGTTACTTGAGCATGACTATGATGTTTTTAGTGATTACGGAGTAATATTTTACAGATACAGAACCCAACATAACATTTTTCCAACTAAGACATGTCTAATAAAAATAAAATTCTTAAATAAGCTAGTGTATTCAAGGCCTTCTTGGTGGCTGTTGATTTCCAATTGGGTTTGGTCCAGATTGTTTCTTATGAATCATCTCTTTGCCCTGATAACAGATTGTTCATTGTCAGTCTTATTGAGTTATTCTATGAAAAACTTCATAAGAGATGAAATTAGTTTTTCATGCTGAAATAAAGATTGCTATTGATATATAAGCTTACCAAAGTAGGAAGAACATTTACGTCTGTTGTCCTAATGTTGTTGCTTAAGGTGCTACTCTGGGAACTAACTGCAATAGAATATCAGAAAGTGAACTTTTAGAAATACGAATACCGAACAAGTGAACAAGCAGTAAACCCTCCCAACCCTCACTCTCAAGAAAATGTTGATTGTGGTATGTGGAGGTATACTGTAGTGCACATGTAGCTTGCCTGTATATATGGCTTTAGCAGTTGAAATAGGGCTGTAAAGGCGTGGGATTGCTGCCAATAGAAGCCATATGAACAGCAGATGGAGAAGCTGCTGCATTGTCTTCATCTTAACTATGAGCATCCTGGATGTTGAATGCTTGATTATAGAAGATGAGAAGTGTGGGCTCATGTCATGTATGTGAGGAAATTTATTTGGATATCATTGGTAATCATGATTGATTGAAAATGTAGAATGCATGCTAAAGTTGCTGAATGCTGGGTATCCGATGCCGTATTGTGCAAGTGATAAAGATCAGCTACCCTCATTGTGAGTTGACTTCTACTCTCTCATCATTGTATCCATGATCAACTGTTAAGTTAAGCATGATTGTCCTTTTGAGTGCTCAAATCGTGTATTTTACATGGAAGTGGACCCTCAACTCCACACTGCATCTTTGCTTTCATTAGGCATTTTCATCATCTGCCCCCAACTCAATTATTATTTCTGCTTGGTTTTTATATTTTTATGGCACTGCATAGTAGTTCTGTTTTCTACTCACTCAGTCCCCCCCTGTTCCTATACACCACTTCAGTCTATCTGCATTTTTCCCCGTGCCCCTTGCATCTTCACCACTGATAAGCCTTTGTGGGGTGCAGCCTGACTGATTTTGCACGACATTTTAGCATGATTTTGTGTTTTGTTCAATGTTGTCGTGCTAGTGATTTTGCATGATTCTGTGCTTTGTTCAATGTTGTCTCTACACGCAGCTGCATTGTTGAATCTTTTTATTTTCCTATTCAACATACTCTGAATGTATTGGCAGCAGCCTCTTTTCTTCTCCCTTTGAACATTTAAAAATAGTTAAAACACATCTATATCAATAAGACAATAATCACCTTGTGGGCTTGTGGAGTTGTAGCCACTTCTAAGTTCTAACTGAGAGCTTTCCTGCTTTTTCAAAGCGCCTTCACTAACAGACAAGTTGCTTAATTTCATGTTCAGTATTTGTACAATTACACTTTATCCTCGGGACACAGTTCACTTCCAAGCAGTTGTGCATTCCAAATTTCCAAGCCTGTTGACCTTCGACCATAATATCAGCAATGTTAGGGCATCCACAATGGTTAGGAATTTTCCCCTCTACATTGTCTAATATTGATTATTTTTACGTCTATCACTCAATAATTATTTATATTACTCCGTATATATTATTTTAAAAAACAGTAATGTGTGCCCTGCCACTTTACTGTGCTCAACATTCAGCCTGGGGGCTTAGCGTGCAATTCAGTCTTTTGATATTTTCTTTTACCTGCAAATGTTCGGATATTGCAATGTGTCCGCACAATTGCATAGGATAGTTGGTTTGGCAAGTCAAATATCCCTCAATTGGGTTGCTCTTAGGGCATCCTCAATAGTGTGAGGTTTTTGATGAGTTTTGACAGATGTGATTAGGAAAAAGAAAATGGGAGGGGAGGAAAAAAAAAAAAAAAACAGATTTACTGCACGCATTAGCTTGGCCGCGAGAGTTGCGCCTCACACTCTCTTTCCAAGATGGACCCACAAGGCCACAAACTGTCAAATCTTGAGTCTTTGACGGAGCACCTCACTTCATTTCTTTCCTCCCTCTCTCTCTTCCATGTGACAAAAATATCTAAAAAAATCAAGTAAAATCCCCTTAATGGAATTGGTCGAATCTCTAACAAGTTTTATACAAGGCATGATGGGTTTAAATGTTTGCTAGGGATGGAGAATATTCCATCTGTCACTTCAAATTGAAATATTTCTACACTTGAATATATTATATAGCTTGAATGATCTCCAAATGGATATTAATGAATAAGGTCTTAATCGCAATTTAGCTATAGTGTGAGAATTATGTCTAAAGTAGTTAGATCTCTTGTGCGCAATAATATAAACTCATACAAACTCTATTACAATGTCAGTACCAATTGAAGTACAATATTTGAGAGAGTTAATTCATGTCATTAGATCACAACATGTGTTATTCAATGTATTGCAAATTAAAATACACTTGTAATATGTTAAAAATGAATTTATAATATAGTAAAAACGACCATTAATGGTCGATTTTGGAGGTTCCAAGATATAAGCATTGAAGTAATTTGGGATGAATTAACCAAATCATATTTACAAATAGAAATAAAAGATGTAGGTGGGAAGTATCATAAAGCTTGAGATAGAAACCACAGGAGCATTTTTGCGTGACTAGGAATCTGCGATAAGGTAACTCATTCAAATCAAATGCATTACCGGATAACATTAGGAAAACCAATAATAAAAACAAACAAAATAGCAGACCAAGATACATACTTCAATCCTAAAGTCTAAACACCCATTATATTGCCACCACTTCAACTGAACAAATGGCTATGGCTTTTCCAGCCACAATCCTCTCTGTGACTCTCTTCATTTCCCTCTGCGCCTTCACCACAGCTTCACTACCAGCAGGACTGATTATAACGATAGTGAACAACTGCCCTCACACCATCTGGCCAGCAATCCAGCCCAACACCGGCTACCCTGTCCTGGAGCGCGGCGGCTTTGCGCTCTACAAACTCACACACCGCTCTTTCGTGGCTCCTCGCGCCCGCTGGTCTGGCCGCATCTGGGCTCGCACCGGTTGCGTCTTGAACCACGGCCGCTTCACTTGCGCCACCGGGGACTGCGACGGCCGCCTGGAGTGCAACGGGAGAGGCGGGGCGGCCCCGGCAACGCTAGCCCAATTCGAACTCCACCAAGGCCACGCCGACTTCTCAACCTACGGCCTCAGCCTCGTGGATGGGTTCAACCTGCCCATGACGCTCACCCCTCACGACGGGAAAGGGCATTGTCCGGTGGTGGGGTGTAGGGCCAACCTATTGCCCGCGTGTCCGCGCCAACTCCAGGTCCGTCTGCGGGCTCGCCGCGGCCGTGGGCCGGTAGTGGGGTGCAACAGCGGTTGCGCCGCCTTCAAGACGGACGAGCTTTGTTGTCGAAACAATTATAACAACCCGCTAATGTGCAAGGCGTCCAGGTACTCGGACTTCTTCAAGCATGCATGTCCCTCTACTTTCACCTACGCCCACGACACCCCGTCATCCCTCATGCACGAGTGCTCGGCGGCGCGTGAGCTCAAGATCATTTTCTGCCACTAGGAGTACCCATTAACAAGCTAAGGCCTAAGGCAATTGTTTAGTTGCAATGTAATGTCTTCTTGTTTTTATTTATTTAGTTTTCTTAGCTCTCTGTTTTCATTTATTATTTCTTCTTCTAGGTAATTAAGGGTTCTAACAACACAACACAACACAATATATTGTACGTTGTAATAAATGGGCATATTTGCCCTAAATAGTAAGTAATAGTGTGCCCTAAATGACCCTCTAATCTGGTGGGATGTGTGTAAAAAGGTAAAACTCAGGAATATACAATACTCGAATGGGCATATGGAAAAAGGCAAATTTGTGGCTGCTGGGGTTCGAGCCCAGATCTCCACGGTCACAACGTGGAATTCTTACCACTAAACTACAGCCACATGAGTTCTAGTTAAAATATAAAACTCACGAATACTAGATGGCCATAAAGAGATAATATTGTGGCTGCTGGGATTCGAGCCCAGGTCTACACGGCCACAACGTGGAATTCTTACCACTAAACTACAGCCACATGTTGATAGAGAGTTCTAGTTAAAATATAAAACTGAGGAATATGCAATACTAGATGGCCATAAAAGGGATATATTGTGGCTGCTGGGATTCGAGCCCAGGTCTCTACGGCCACAACGTAGAATTCTTACCACTAAACTACAGCCACATGTTGTTACAAACTTCTAGTTAAAAATTCTTAAACAATATCAACTTCATGTTTTCCATTGTTCACCGGAATCCGCAATGCAAATATGCAATGCTTAGATGAAGGTGATGCTCCCCCTTCCTCATTATCAAGGTGTGGAAGTGGTTAATGATCCTCCTCATTCCCTTATGATAGTGCTGTTTCATGATGTTTAGGGACCAATGAATTAGTGCCTTCCTAGCTTTTTGAGGTATGTCCCCTCTTATTAATTTAAATAAAAAAAATATGTAATATGTATTCATTACTAGAAAAATGAACATAGAAATATAATTTTTTACTACACTTTTTAATAAAACTGTAGTGTATAGTTGAAAAAAATGTGATAACAAAAGCGTAAATAAATACAAAAGAAAACACTACACTTTTATTTTAAAAGTGTAGTAATTTTTTTTAAAAAAAAACGGAGCTACTTTATGGGACACATTCTTCAATAACGTGTCGTGGGAAGTAAGTGCGTAATAAAAAAAATTATAAAATTTTCCACGACACACTTTTCAAAGGTTGTCGCGGCTAAAATAAACGGGAGGGAACGCAAACAGTAGATCATATCTCATTTTCTCTCTTTCACTCTCATCTCTACGACGAAGGCCTCCGACGCCCCCATCTTCTCACATCCGCCACCGACGCTGCCATCTCCTCCGATGCTGACGTCGCGAACAGCCACGGCCACCGTCGCGATCTGCAGTAAATGCCACCGTCGATGTCGCCCTTGGCGAATAGAGCTTCGCCTCGACCTGCCGCCGCTGCCACAGTTAGCATCCCCACTGCCGATAAGTCTCACTTTGATTGTTTATTTATTTATTTCATATTTGTGGTTATTTATTTCGAATTGTTGTTATTTATTTCGAATTTTGGGTTATTTATTTCAAATTTTTGTTGTAATATATTAACATGTTTATTTATGATTATTTTTGAATTTTTAGTTTTATTTAATTTCAAAACTTTGTTGATTTGTGGTTACTTTTGTGGTATATTATGTATAAAAATATGAATGTTGGTGAATATGTATATGAATTTAAGTTTATTTTTTGATATTATATACTAATGATTTTTGAATTTTTATTTTTATTTTTATTTAATTTCAAATTTTGATAATTTTGTTGAAGACTTATTCTGATTAAAAGTTAATATGTGTATGTCTATAGGACAAAATTAGTACTATATTATTATTTTATTTGAAATTTTTGTTGATTTGTAGTTATTTAATAGAAGTTATTGTGATTAAAAGTTAATGTGTGTTTACCTATCAGACAAAATTATTATTATTTTATTTCAAATTTTGATATGTTAAATATTTACTTTTGGGATATAATAAATTTTGTATGAAATGCATATTTTGATGATTTAGGTACTTGATTAAATAGTTATTTATATATTTTAGATTTTAGATTCATTAATTTGATATGGTATTTTGATGAGTTATGTATTTCGATTACTTATATTGATTTTGATGAGTTATCTCCTATTAGTACACGACCTTAAATTGTTGGAGATAATGTCTTTATGCTCTTGGGGAATTATTGCAAGTGGTTGGTCAATTTGTTGACAACATTCCCTATTGATAAATAATATATTGATTTAGATATAGATTATACAGTCTTTCATCATGGACACGTGAGGGAGTTTATGTGATAATGGGGAATATACATGATTTGTTGACAATGAATTGTGTTAATGTCTCAATTATACGAGTGTTTATGCTGTAAGTTTCAAATTGCTCTTGTGATTTATATACATTTGTTTTTTTATGTTTATTGAAATTTCTTATTTGTTATTTTTAGGTATTTGAATAAGTTGTGTAAACAGTTTGGAGTCACATCTATCGGGTTTGCTTGTCCAACTCAAATTTCAGCGGATATATGATTAATATAAATTGTCCTGCTGTTACATAATGTCTCATTCACGTCCTAGACGAACACAATGATCAACAAATCATATTAGCACTATATCATCAAGAGTAAGTCTTTTACTTTGCTAATATATATAACTTAATAACTTTATTTGAAGTGTTTGATATTAGAATTTTAATATATGTATATTTTGTAAATGTAGTAATCATTGGTTATTTATCGTGATCTTCACACGTTCAAGAACCGTGTATGTATTGGATCCTTTGAAATGTGAGTGCACCCTTGATGTCAAAGTTGTTGGTGATAATGAACCAAAATCGATTTAATATCCCTAAAATAATATTTATATATATACACACGAAATATATATAAAATATTATTGGATATATATCCGAAATATATATATACACACAAATATATATATATATATATAACGGAACCAACGGTTATATATACATATATATCTACGAAAAAGATATACCAATATATATATCAACCGAAATTGGAACTAATAATCCTCAGATTATAAATCCAATCCACAACTAAATCAAATAGATAGAAGGATTTTTGCTTAGAAGCATAATCCAAAACCGAAAGAAGGAAAGATGACTCGTGTGTGGGTAAGGGTTTTTAGCGTGAGTCAAGAGACCACTCTTTCCTTAAAACCTTATTTGCCACCTCCCAAAAGTGCTAGGAGCGTCGTGACCTAGGTTTCCCAGGATAAAACGCGCTACGGTTCGACGTTTAAGCACCCAAACGAACGAACCCGGCGAACTAGAGCAAAGCCTTGAACACAGTTAGGCTTAAGAAAGGAGTAGAAGCAGAAGTATTTTGAAGCTTGAAAACAAAATTTCGTGTAGAGCTCTTGTGCTTGTTCTTGTTGTGTAAAGCTTCTGCCTTCTAACCCTTCTTATATAGGGGGGAGTACTTAATAGCATTCATCATGGCATTAATTACACGTTGTGTAACATCTGAAACAGCAACCCCATTAACAGAATTAAATTTAAAATTCAAAACTGGAGTTAATGGACTGTTGGTCTTCGACCTAGGGCCGAAACTTTCAGCTTTGCCAAGTTTCGGCCCAAGGCCGAAACATTCAGCTTTGCCAAGTTTCGGCCCAAGGCCGAAACATTGCTGCGTTCTGTTTCGGTCTGGCCGAAACTATCCAGGTTTCGGCCTCCCATTAACAGAATTAAATTCAAAATTCAAAACTGGAGTTAATGGACTGTTGGTCTTCGGCCTAGGGCCGAAACTTTCAGCTTTGCCAAGTTGGTTCAGTTCGGCCTGGATCGAGCTCGTCTCGGTCGGCAAATTATGCCCTGGAAACGTATTCATCATGAATGGTGAACACGGGTCCAAACGACGCCGTTTTTACGTTAAAAAAAATCGCGAATCTGGTGTTAACGCGCGCGTTTGGTCAGATTATGAATTTTCTGTTATGAGATTATGAATGTACTATAAATTCATAATCTCATAACAGAAAATTCATAATCGCATAAAAGAAAAATATTTATTAAATTATGAATTTTCTGTTATGAGATTATGAATTTACTGAAAATTCATAATCTCATAACAGAAAATTCATAATCTCATAACAGAAAATTCATAATCTCATAACAGAAAATTCATAATCTCATAACAGAAAATTCATAATCTCATAACAGAAAATTCATAATCTCATAACAGAAAATTCATAATCTCATAACAGAAAATTCATAATCTATGAATGTTGAAGAAGCTTGCGCTACAGAGGAGCAGCCATGGTTTCGGACGTGAATGTGTAGGCATGGTTCCAAAGTGAATGTGCAGGCATGGATTCATAATTTATGAATGTCCGAAATCATTGCTCACCTCAAATTAAAGTGAAACCGCGAAATGTGAAAATGAAGAAGAAAAAATTACGCAATTAATTAAGGGGGAAAAAAAATAACGCTGCATTAACACCATGGTGAACACGGGTTCTCAAATTAAAGTGAAACCGCGAAATGTGAAAATGAAGAAGAAAAAATTACGCAATTAATTAAGGGGGAAAAAAATAACGGTGCATTAACACCATGGTGAACACGGGTTCCATGGCATAATTACCGGTCTCGGACGAACCCAAGTGGCTAATGTGTTGGAAAACTGATACCGACATTCGTGCCCGCACACACGAGCTCGGGCTTGAATCGAACAGATCTCGTTTCTGGTTAGAAATTTGATTTGCACCCCCCCCCCCCCCCCCCCCGCACGAGAGAGCCTCTATGCTATACAATTCTAAAAGCTCCAAAAGAGCTCTTGTATAAAAGGGGGGTCAAATCCTCTTTCCAAACCAATGTGGGACAAAAAACTCATTTTTTCCCTTCATTTTCCAACTCAAGTGGGTCTACTTTGAGAATCAATATCTCATTCACCCATTATCCGTTTTGGCGTACAATATATCAATCTCTTCGTCTCACTACGAAGAACCCGAATTCACTTTGACCCGACCCAAATCGGAAGTGGACCCCACTGATAATTGTACCAAAAAATAGCCACTTAAAATGCCATTTTAATGCTATATTTCCAACAAAAGCTTTTGTGAATATGTAAGTAAAAATCCTATTATGTTAAATATGTGTAAGTAAAACTTATTACATGTCATTCATGCACTCAGCGGTCTCGGCGGCCAATGAGGGGTGTATACGTGTAGCAGATATATCTAACTGACCAATAGCTATTGTACTCGTTTCGAACGTCACTATATATATTCATCTTTAAGTACGGGCATTTGGGATCGGGCCCCAAACCGAGTATATGGGGTCGGGGCCGAGCCTAAAGGGCAAATTATGTTGTGGAACTGTGTCCACCTTGCTAGGTAGACACGGTTTCAAAACTATTCATAATTAGGAATATATAATTCAAAAATTATGAACATATAGTTCTATAATTATGAACATAGAGTTGTGAACATATAGTTCTGTAATTATAAATATAGAGATTCAATAATTGTGAATATGAAGTTCAAAAATTATGAATATATAGCTTTATAATTATGAACATATAGTTCAGTAATTATGAACATAGAGTTCTGTAATTGTGAATATAGAGTTCAATAATTATGAATATGAAGTTAAAAATTTATGAATATATAGATTTATAATTATGAACACATAGTTCAGTAATTATGAACACCGTGTCCACCTTGCAAGGTGGACACGGTTCCATAACATAACGATTAAGCCTAAAGGATTCATGGTAGAAACTGATTAAACTAAAGGAAGAGCCCAATACTATGCTCGACATGTCGGACCTGGTCGGGAAGAGGACCTCACAATGAATGGAGTCGAGTCCGATCATGTGATTGGTATGTACTGGTCGGTAACTTCGGGGTATAATCCCCATCACTTCCTATGTAGCTCATAATAATTGGGTGTTTATGAATTTGCTAACCAACTACTAATTAAAAATTTAAAGCCCAAAGTTAGGAGGTACAAAGTTTAAGGAAAATAAATTAGGGGTGTGTACCATTGCTCCCCATTATGCAACATAAAAAGTTAATCACCGGTAAGTGTATGTCATTTTTCACATTTATTTTAATTATTATTATACATAAGTAATAATTTGTTGGATAATGAGAGTGGCTTTAAATATCTATTTTTGTCATTATTTTTAACAGTCCAAACGCCTAATTAATAAAGCTAGAGAACATCATCACTTTTAAAATAATAGAAAAAAATAATGTGAATACACGAATCTATCTATACTATATATAAAAAACAAAATCCTCAACTTTAATTTCTCGCCCAAAATAGTCTTATACTATTAAGATTTGCGTAATATTATAAAATAGTATAATACAATTTCTAATAGAATATTTTTTTTTTTACTTTCCTATTCGTACTATTTTTTTTTTTTTTTGGTAGGAATATTCGTACTATAATTCTACATTAAAATTCCTATTCTAATATTGTAAAATAGTGTAATATTCATAATAGAATATATTGTTTCATACTTTTCGATTCATACTATAATTCTACATTAAAATTCCTATCTTATTCGTACTATAATTCTACGGCGGGACTTATATCCCGTCACTTCACCGGGACTAGGCGACAGCCCTCCTCTAGGGCCGTGCTCTGGTCCCGTGCAAGCACGGCTCTAGCCGGCGGCCCTCTTGATGGACCGTGGCTAGGCCCGTGACTCTGATCTGGTGTACACTGTGTTGTGCACCAGAAGGTTTCTCATATGCAAAATCCAATCCAAACAAGTCCAAAACAATCTCAACAATTCACAAACAAATACTAAGTCACTTCTAAGCATAAACACAACAAAATCTTATAGTTTCTACTCATTTATACTCAAAGCTAAGGCTTCACAGAGCCAAATTTTAAAGAGGAATCCATGAGGTTATACCTCTTGTAGACCTTCTTCTAGCTTGGATCTCTTCTTCCTCTCTATCTAGATTGTGCCTCCTTCACCACCATACATCCCAAACACCCTACAACCTTAGCGTAGAACCTCAAAGATTAGAAGAAACTAGAAGAGAAATGAAGGCTAGGTTTGAAGAGGGAAAAGAGTTTACTGTGATGTTGTTTTCTCCCTTTCTCTTGGCAGTAGAGCTGTCAAAACGGGCCCAACCCGTCGGGTTGGGCCCATTTAACCCGTATTTTATACGGGCTGGGTTGGAAGATTTTCAGCCTGTCCCGTTTCCAACCCGTTCTGTGTAACCCGTGAGGGATACGGGTTATACGGACCCACGGGCCGGCCCGTATAACCCGTATCCCCACCCATCTCCAAATGTGTTGTATAATTGGGTATTTTATTAATATTTAAAAATATTGTTACTAACAAGACTTGTACCCTTAACCTTTTACTTAAGTTATCAAATTATTACTATTGAAACCAATTACACTAAAAACACATGTTAAATATATTAATATAATTATATATCTATTTACATCATTCACAAGCATTATTAAATATATATCTATATTAATTAATTCAATTAATTGATATTAATTTAAAATTTATTTATTATATAAACTACATAAAGTAATAAATTATATATTTTATAAACTTTATAACTTAATAGTATATATTATAATTACAAAATAAAAAAATATTACATGTAAAGTATATTATTATTAAATATAAATTAAATAAATTATAATTACATATTAAAAACTAAAATCTAATTTTATATGTGTATATGTCACATGTGTATATGTCCTATGTATATATGTGTATATGTTATATGTGTATATATATAAATATACATATTTTTTCACCATGGTTAATGTGGTTGATTGAAAATAGTCTTGGTTAGTAACTTCGAGGTCATGGGTTCAATTTTTAAGCAATACGATAATAAATATTTTAATCATGTAAATTATTAAAAAAAAAAAAAAAAAGGGCTGACGGGCTGGCCCGTTTAGCCCGTCCTACACGGGTTGGGTTGGGATTTTCCCAACCCCTGGGAAAACGGGACGGCCCGTCCCGTCCCGTTTCCAGTTGAACCCGAGACGGGCCAGCCCATATGGGTCGGGCTGGCCCGTTTTGACAGCTCTACTTGGCAGATAATTTGTGTGGAGAGGCAAAGAAAGAGATCAGGGAATCAAGATGGAATCATGGAGTTTATATAGGGTCCACAACCCTAGGTAGAAGGCCAATGATTGGATGAGGGCAAAATGGTAATTTAGAGTGGTTCTAGCAAAGATCAGACAAGGTTAAATTTCTTTGTGGTCCACCTTGCAACATGAACCATAGACTAGAAATGCTATTTTAAATACTTTGGGGTTGAAAATGAATTTTCTCAAAAAGCTATTTAGATGAATCCTTGTTTAAAATCTTTTTGGACACTCCTGGTCTCACTCAAATAAATTTCTCGATTAAAATCTTGGTACGCGAAGTACCCGAAAATTTAGGAATTTTTGAAATAGAATCAATTTTGGTGTCAAATTAATTTGAAATGTGACGAAAATATTTTATTAAAACACCGATTGATCGCAAAATTTTTAATGGAGTGAAAAAGACTATTTTGGGATTTCTAAATACCGGATTTATAAAATGAAATTTTGGATTGTTACATCTAGCCTTATGCCAGGGTGGTGTGATGAGACCTTTATGGAAAGAATAAAAGTAAAATCGTCCTCTCCAACTTCCCCGTACAAAATTTTCTTAACATTAATTAATTAATTTATTAATAAAAAAATTAATAAAGTTTAATTGGTAACAAAATGTATATGAAAATTAACTAATATCTATTAATTTGTAATATTCTTTGCAATTCTGCGTAATAACGCAATTTTATAAGGAAATAATGATTTATTAATTATTATATAATTTTGTAAGGCAATAATGATTTATTAATTATTATTTACAACAATAATAATAATTCAAAAACTGATTTTACAGCATTCTATCTATACTATTAATAAAAGTAAAATCCTCCTCTTCAACTTTTCCGCCCAAACTAATATGAATATTAATTAATATGTACCCTATACTATTAATAAAAATAAAATACTCCTCAACTTTTTCCAACCAAACTAATATGAATATTAATTAATCTATACTATTAATAAAAGTTGGTGTTATCGGATTCGGATAAGAAACAATTACCTTTGGTGGAGTTGGAGAAGTTACTATATTTGTGGGGAAGAACATGAGGGACTTTCTAGAAATGTCATTCCAGACGAAAATATCATGAGTTTTGATGGAAAACATGTTGGCAGCCGAAGAGTTGACATATGACAAGGAATCGTTGAAGACAGAGCATGAAACGTTGGTAACACAATTGACGGACGAGCAAAAGAATGTCTTCGACTCTGTGATGAATGATTGAATGACATTGATTCTAATGGAGGTGTAATGTTCTTTGTGTATGGTTACAGAGGAACACACAAGACATTCATGTGGAGAACGTTATTGTCAAAGATATGAGCCACAATGATATTGTTCTCAACGTTGCTTCAAGTAAAATAACATTTTTGCTCTTGCCGGGAGGCAGGGCGGGGCATTCCAGATTTGGTATACCACTCTCTTTGAATGAAGATTCCACGTGCAATGTATCGCAAGACAATGACCTTGCTGGGCTTATAATAACGAGCAAATTGATAGTATGGGACGAAGCACCGATGAACTACAAATACTATTTTGAGGCTTTTGAGAAAAACATGAGGGATCTATTGAAGTTCGCCATATCGGGTAGAGCTGAAAAGACATTTGGTGAAAAACATTAGTTTTGGACGGCGATTTAAGAAAGATTCTTCCCATTATTTTGAAAGCAACACGGCCAATAGTTGTCGGAGCCACTATTAATTCTTCCTACCTCTGGACAAACTGCAAGGTATTGAGGCTCACGAATAACTTGAGACTACAGAGCTTAGCTTCAGAGGAAGATAGACAGGCGGTTGATTGGTTTTCAATATGGATTGCAGACATTGAATATGGGATTACAGGGGTTGTTAATGACGATTTGTCTGAGATTTCCGACAGGTTTCTGTTGAAGTGTGGACACGATCTAATAGCAACTATAGTGGAAAGCACCTTCCAAAGCGCAGGATATGACATGCTTGATGAGTCGCACCTAGAAGGCCGAGCGATAATCTCACTGGCTTTAGATGTCGTTGATCAAATTAATCAGTACATATGCGACATGAACATTACGGAATATCGAACATATTTAAGTTGTGACTCTTTGTGTAAGGCAGAATTGGACAGGAAAATCTACCATAACTACACACTCCTGAATTCTTAAATAGTTTGAGATTGTCTGGACTTCCTAATCATTCATTGACATTAAAGGTTGGTCCACCTGTTATGTTATTGTGGAACATAGACCACTCTCTTAATCTTTGCAATGGTATGCGCCTCTTGTCACAAGACTGTCAAATCACATTGTTGAAGCAAGAATAGTAGTTAATGAGACACATCAAGGAACCAAATTTCTTATCCCACAAATATCTCTATACTAGATTTCCCTTCGGTGTACATGACTTTTTTCCCGAGTCACCCATTATGATGGCCTAAAGGTTTTAGCTCTAGACGATGATGGACAAAATTTTGTTACTACTACCAATGTCGTTTATAAAGAGGTTTTCAATAATGTGTAATTCAAACAATTGATAATATGTTTTCTTTTTATACAAAGATGGCAAAATTGCTATAGATATACATAGAAAATATATATCTTCCGTACAAATAATTTCTATATCTAAGTTGCTAGACAACGAGCTAATTAGCCCAATCAATACAAATCCAAAATACTGATATATAAAATCTCTAAAGTTTCAGCATCGAATTCGTATATCTTCACGTTAGCTATTAATCAGATAATTATTTACTCGAATTCAAGCAATGGTAACATTATAAAACATAATCAATCCAACTCAGTTCTTCAATTGCACTATATAATATTCAATGTTATAATTTATATAATTGTATATCGATCCAAATATTTTTAAAATATTACAATAAATTTATTGCGTGCAACGCATGAATGAAAATACTAGTAATTATGAAGAAAAGAATGCTATGGACATATAATTGAAGGGACAAAAGTATAATTTTCTGTTAAAATTTTAAATCAAAATAGTGAATAAACGAAATATCACTCCAATTCTAAAATTTCAATCTCTTTCCGCTCATTTTGGGACCGCGCCCAAAGTACACTTTTCGTGTATTCACAGAAAAAGCACAATCCACAACTAAGCATAGAAAAACCCCAACCATCCGTCGATTCATCTTTAATCAACGATTCCCATTCAATTTCATCTAGTCACGCGGATCTCCAGTTTCGACCGTCGATTAACCATTTCAATCTAACGGTCAAGATTGATTCTATTCTACATTTCGGACAATAAATGGCGCACCCCGTCCCACGTCCAGCTCACTTCCAAATCAAAATCTACTTGTCCAATTTACCTCTCACTCCACCAATTCAAAACCCTAGATTTCTTCTTTCTCTCTGCAAAAATGTCCGGCCGTGGAAAGGGAGGCAAGGGATTGGGCAAGGGAGGAGCCAAGCGTCACAGGAAGGTGCTTCGCGACAACATCCAGGGGATCACGAAGCCGGCCATTCGCCGTCTGGCTCGTAGAGGAGGCGTGAAGCGTATCTCCGGCCTCATCTACGAGGAGACCAGGGGAGTCCTCAAGATCTTCCTCGAGAATGTGATCAGAGACGCCGTGACATACACTGAGCACGCTCGGAGGAAGACCGTGACGGCGATGGACGTCGTCTACGCCCTCAAGAGGCAGGGCAGGACTCTGTACGGTTTCGGAGGCTAGGATGTTGGGATGCGCTATTGGATGTTCGTCTGTGTAATTGCAGATCTGTTGGACTATTTCCGTTTAGTTTTTAGTTATGTTTTTAGGTTGTAGGTAGCGATTGTCTGCTTGTTTCGTGAATGTAATATCCTGTTGCAGTTAAAGCATCACTAATACCTTCTGTTCTGATTTTGTGAATCAATACAACGTTATCTGCTCTATGAAAATTGAATTTCGTTCTAAATTGGATAGCCAGTTTTTAGAGTATATGATTATATATATTTAATTGCAGAGTTTTCATGCAATGACGCGTGATTGGATGGATGTTTCAAGCGGTGTTTTTGCGTTAGGGCGTATAATTCGATTGTGTTCAATGTGTTTTGATTTGATTTTCATGTTGCTTGTTTGCATTTGTTCAGATTGGTTGTTGATTGCTTTCATCCTCTGATCCTAATGTTGTGTTAGCATCTCTTTTTGGCAAGTGTTTTATAGCAACTAGATACATTTTTTGGCTTTTGATGGGATTTTATCATTTAATCTCTTCTATATCTTTGGTACACTGTTAGTGCAAAATTGTTGAAGTTATTTTTATCCTCCCTTCCTGCATTCGATTTGAACCTTTTTGCTCTTGGTCTGCACTCTTGGGATTTTATCATTAATCTCTCCTATATCTATTGGCCTATGGTCACACTATACTATTTGGGTTGAATTAATCAATTATGTACGGTCGACGTTTTTCCACTCTTCAAACATAAGTCTCAGTCAATACTTCCGAAATTTTTAAAAACATTGAAAGTTTGAAGTTAAAACTAATTGATATATAAATATGACAAAGCAATTTTTTTTTTTTTTTTTTTTTTTTTAAACTAGTAGTCACTACTCAAGTATGCAATGTTCTTCATAAGTGATGGGCTCAACTCATAAGTTGCTCACTATTATCAATAACTGATTGATTTAAATTATAAACTGTTTTTGTTTAGGTTGAACTTGTAATATTGATTGTCTGAGTGACTTGGTTGGATGAAAAGATTGTACTTTTGTACTATATATAACTTCTATTTTTGATTATCTGATTGACTTGATTAGTCGAAAGGATTGTACTTTTAATTGCATTATTGTTCATAGTTTACGGGTTCAAATCATATTGTTTGACGGATTTGACTAGAGGGGTCAAACTCATAACTTTGATTTCCTAATTAACTTGGCCGGAAAAGTCGAACTTGTAACTTGAATTGCCTTGTTGGCTTTTGCTGGTATTAACACCACGTGGGAGAAGAGAGGTTAAGCAGGTGGGCGGTGTGATTCCCCCAAAACCGCCACGTAGCAAATGGGTGGGTATCCTAGTCGGCTACTCTCTATAAATGATTTATCCATTACAGCACCTCGTGGAACTTGCTTTCAATTCTCTTCTAATATAATAAATAAATGCATCATTAGATTCTCATCTTCTACTGCCTCTTTCAGATTTCAGATATCTCCTATCCTTGTCTCCTATTCCCCCTCCCTCTATGTAAACTCCAGTTTGGATTTAAACGGAATTAGGGCGCATTCAAGTATTTCGAAGAGGAGGAGAAATCTAGCTTCGTTGGAAATGCCGTCGCCTCCGAGCTCAGCTTACCTTACAGCTCTCACGCTAGAAATCGAGAGAAAGCTTCAACGTGTATGCGTCTCTCTGTGTGTTTGATATATATGCATCGGACTCATCATATACGGCTTTTGTTTTTACTATTTTTTTTTCTCTGGTTAAGAGGTTACGGTTTCAGCATAAGTTGATAAAATGTGTAAATTTCATTACAGGCATTAGCTCTGCCGACGCAGAGGCGCGATTTGTTGCAAGAGCTATTTGCTGATATAGCTTTAGAAGTTGACGATCGAGCGAAAGGTGACTACACTGCTTTTAAGACTTGAAACGGATTTTGTGAGTTTAGATTTGTACGCATTTTGCAATAGATTTTGATTTTTTTTTTTTGTTTTTTGTTTTCTATGTTGATAGTAAACTGTTCATCGGTAATTGGTTTTGATTTTTACTATGCTGGCCTTGAAGGTGCTTTAGAATTGGAAATTTTGCAGATATTTTTACATTGTCATTAATGTCTCCCTTTTTAGTGTAAGATTTCTTGATGAATTCAAATTTTATGATGCCAATCTAGTTTTTAGGCTTGAGCTTCTTGGCCTCTGGTTTGGGTGGTTTTGGCATGAGCTCCCAAGGTCATTTGGCTTTGCAAAACTGCAGTGGATGATGATTCTGTGCTCTTTTTTTTGTCTTTTAAGGCTATTCTGCTGCTAGTATGTATTTTTGCTTCTTAGTCCTATACTAATGTTCCTTTTAGTGTGTTAGTAAATACTCATAATAATTGGTGTTATTCAGAATTTTTACAAATCTTAGTAGGTGCTGTCACTGCTGTGGTTTCTAGAATATGCTAATCTATGACACTCATGTTCAATATATCTGTTGAAATTGAACAGAAATACTTTTCAGCAGTGAAAATTTGAGATCTGCCAGTGTGGAAAAGATCAAAGGCCCAATATGTTACTTTGATGTGCTTGCTGATCATTTCGTTCATGTGGCCGACAGTGGGAAACCAATCCTTAGTTTAATTGTTCAGCTTTGGAGCCAGCAGTCCTTTGCTTGCCATATATTTTCCCTCTTGTTTCACAAGTGGGTACGTGAGCTTGCATTTAACTCACAACTTGATGGTTTTACAATTTCATGGCCTATTAGCTATTATACATCATATGTACTTTTACATTCCATTGAATGTAGTTGGAACTTGATGAAACAAACTCCAGTTGATATGTCTGTCTTCTACCATTCACTAATTCTGACCAATCCTTTTTTTGCAGCTATTTGAGGTTGAGCTTGACAAATCTGAATCTCTGCTTCGGTACTCTTCAGCCCTTGTTCAAGGTGCTACCGATGTTTTCTGGTATGGGTTTTAATCACCTTTATGGTTTATGGCCTCTATAAATACCTGCTGTGTAACTTCCCATGCCACATTTACAGCTTTTGTTAGTGATGCTAAATTTACCATTGGGCTGGAAAATGACTTTTTATGGCGATGCCTTTTTACAGGATTGATGTCCATTCAAACACAAAGTGCTTTCAAAGTCTCTTTAGGGTGAGATACAACTAGTAAAATACATATATGTTTTTGTCACATGTAAGTATATATTCTAACATTTCCTTATCTTTTTCAACCCACTGAAGTATCTCTTCGAGGAAGTTTCACTTGTTCCAGAACGGTTAAAGAAGATACCATTTCAGGTTTATCATTCTTACTATTTTCTCTGCCAATATGTATTCTATTTTTATTAAAAAGTAGGCGGGCATGCCTAAAGAGTGTTTTACTATGGAGTATTATTGACTCTTTCTGACCCTAAAACAGGCCCAACGGAATTTGTTCCTCCTCCTTTCACGGTTCATCTTTTTTTACGACTTAGGTGAGCCACAGAGCAGATCTCAGCTCTATACAGCATAATATAGACATTGAACTTGTTTATTATAAGTGCTTACTTGCATTTACTTTCAGTTGACAAGCTAGAAATCTTCTTAAGTCAGTTTCCTGATTTTCCAAATGCTGTGTTTATGGGTGGTCCGGCTGATTTTTTTGTTACTGAAGTAGCTGATCAGGTGAGGGACATTCCACTATATATAGCTTTGAGTCGGTTTGCATCTTTTCAACTTCTTTGTTGACACTTTGGTGTTTTCAATCAGCTTCAAAAACTGAAAGTTGAGCCTGTACTATTGCATTACCTCTCCCAGGTGAAAGTACTCAGCAGTAAGTGCAGCTGCCTGGATTGATTTGATTAAGTCTATCATGTTTGTTAGGTTGCAATTGTATTAAGGAGCTTCGCGTGTACAGGGTTAGAATTGAGAATGACAACAAGTACAAGACTAAGGACTTGCTTGTATAGCTTCACCAGCCCGGGCGCTCCAATGTACCCAACAAGAGCCGTCCGTCACGCAGCATGGGATGCGCTAGATTTTCTTTTTCCTGTGAGTGATCTTTCAAAATTCAAATCATTTTATTTGTTGATGGGTTGGCAGCTTAAATGATTGCTAAACTGTTACACATTGTTCAATTGAACTATTGAAAAAAAAAGTGCAATTGAACTATTAAAATTTTGCAAATAACAATTTTTATAGGTTACTTTCAAGTATTCTTTAAATATGATGTCATAATGTCAACTTATTGTTTTAATTTTTAAACAATTAAAAGAAGAAAAAAAACCATTTTTGTCATTCATTTAAATTTGGTAACAAATGAAAAATCAATATATTTTTTCCCAACCGTACCATTCTCCCAAACAATAAATTTTTGCTTAGATCTTACTCTTCAACATAAGATATGGCAGCCTAAGTGCTAGGTTGAGGTTGATTCAAATGGTACAATTATTTGTTCAATGGTTCAATTCATATTGTTTAAAAGTTCAGTGACCTTTTTGACAAGTTAAATTTGGTATGTACTGGTAAACTGAGGCAGTTGATTGTTTGGTTCAGGTTGGGCGATATCCACGGCACCTTATAAGTATATTCTTCCGGTTGCTATATCCATGGTACTGGCCATCTTCTTTCTGGAACTTCATTAAGTGGTGCGTTGTGGCATTATTTTATTCGGTATTAAGATTAATTTTCTCCAGTAGGGATAAGTTAAAAGAAAGATAGATAAACAATTTTGAAGTCACATTGTATCTTGTCTTTATATCACCTTATCATCTGATGCTATATATCAACCAAGACAGTGTCATGCTCATTTCATTTGTCGTTGCCTTTATTGAGTTTAAGAAAGAATTATTTAGTTACCACTTACCACCTTCATAACCTAACCTAAACCTCCGTGAAATGCGCTTTCCTCTTCCCCCACCACCATGTGCCCTTCTGAAGCTCCACCCTTGTACACTGTTTAAATCCGACATAATAAACAAATCCATATCAGACAAGGAACTTAGGTCTTGCACTATGCAAAGTGCAATTCATAATCTTTATATTATAAATTTATAATTTTTAAACTTTAAATTCATAATTTAAATACAGTAAATTTATAATTTTTATACTGTAAATTTATAATTTTTATGTTGTAAGTTCATAATTTTGTAACTGTATAGTTATTAAATTATGAACAAATATAGTTATGTGATTTGTGAATACAGAGTTCAACAATTGAAAATATGAACATCGAAAATTATGAACATAAAATTCTATAATTGTGAATATAAAGTTCAATAATTATGAATATATAACTT